GAACTGAAAAATGGGGGAGAGGCTGGAAGGAGATGTGGGTCCAGAAAGGGCTTTTATCCATCATTTTCTCTTTGATACCTAGTTTAAAGGAGGCATCCAAAAATACCAACTGAATAAATCAAGTTTACTATTAAATAGCAGGTTTGCTCTGAACACATTGACCGATTAATGTTCATATATTCAGGCTCTCATTATGCACTAAGGAAATATATTCTTTTTCCCTGGAAAAGAGCCAGCCTTGAGCAATTAGGTGATGTTTAACTTTCAGAGAATTCAGATGTCCCGTTATATTTCATGAACATTAGTGACCTTCTGTGGCAATTTCCACCACTGTGCATGGTCTGTAGTTAAGACACTTTATTGCCTTGCTAATCTGTCATCTATCCTCGTTGAGTTTCTAAGCTGTCTAAGCAAAAGATTTGTAAAGCCCTAGAGGAAAGCAATTTTTAAGAATTAGATAGATGAAAGCAAGACAGAAGATCCAAACCACTAAAGCAGATTTCCTGCTTATATTTAAACCCATGAAATGAAATAAATATTTTCAATATTTAAGCCATGCATGGCCATTCTTGTCTGGTTTTCATTGAAAACTGGAAAGACTATTCCCAAAGTGACTGGTTGAGAGATTAAAAACACAAAGCAGAACAATGATGGCAAGTGAAGGCATGCTATGTTAGAGTACAGACAATAACAAACTAACAGCTAAACTTGCCTCTGACTCATGGAAAAATATGTGAAATTAGGTTATCCAAGCTTAAGAGTCATGAGTCACACAATTTAGAATACAGCTGTCAGGAAAGTACATGTGTACTTCTGAATTAAAATAATAAGGAATGGATATAGATATATATTATGTAAGCTTCAATCTGTTACCACCATAAAAAAGTAGATTGTGCATTATTTCTTTGAGAATCTATTGAAAATATCAATAAGCATAACAAATGTCTGTCTCAGTTAAATACTAAGAGAAGCTACATTTTGGAGTAAGCAGTAGGTTTCATGCTTTAAGTTTGAGCTTTTTAAAATCATATCTGATTCCTACATCTAAAATAGATGATAGCATACTTTAATAGATTTGTTTTGGTAGAAAATCCAAACTTGGCAATTACAGAGCATAGCTGGAAAACACTTAGATATCCAATACATAGTTGAAGAACAACACGTAAAATTCTACCCCGGTTTTCAGCCAATAAAGGTCCATCATTCATCCTAACTGCTAGCAAACCACAAGAGGCAAGTAAATCATCCATCCCAGAAATAACTGCTTCTAAACCAGACTGTGGCCAGAGCTTGGTCAGTTAGTTCATGCTGCAGAATGAGGCAAAAGATTCAATGTAATCCGATTGTCTTGGTTCTACACTCATTATCTAAAACAAAAACCATAACAAAGAAAAATAAAAAGCATAATAGCAAAGGTGACGTGGGGAGTGGTAACACAAATAGAGAGGCGTCAACAAATTATGGAAGGTAAAACGTGGAGGAGACAGTGGGTAACAACTTCTAACTTACTAAGAACTTACTATATTAGCAATTATTATATCTTTTTTAATTCCTACCCACAGTAACTCCATAGAGAAGTCACTATTATTCTCCACACTTTATAAAGAAGCAAACCAAAGGTAAATACGTTAATTATCTCATCCAAAGATATAGTACTAAGAAGTGGGGGATCCAGTCCTCCAACCCAGACTGTCTAGGATTCCAAAATCCATGTTCTATTCGTAGAGGATTACCTCCGCTCTCCCTCAGTCTTCACACCAAACATGTGCCTGCTGGTTCTGCCCTAGGCGATTTGTAGGTGCCATAGCAGAAAACAAGCACAACATCCTAGGAAAACCCACCAAATTATCATGTCTTTGTGTAGGAAAATAAATGTCAAGTGTAAAAATGCTGAAGCACCTTAAGTAATTAAAACTCCAGCCTTTGGGGATGTAATAAAATCAGTACTCAGAACTTAGCTTTACCATGACTGAAATTGTGAAAATTACTTTTGTGCGTCTGTGCCTTATCTTTTGTACTTATTTCTTATATTTTCAGTCTTAAAAATTTATTCTCCATTTAAAAAATGAGTTGAAGTTCAAACGACAGAATTTGTGAGCATTGCATATTTTATAGATTTGATTTTTCCTTCTACTGTCACAGTTTTCTAGCAGAGAACTTATTTGACTTTTCACTCTCCAGAGTATTCAAAGAGCTTAGTACCACAGAAAATCCAAAAGTTTCAATTGCATATTTCTCTTGAAAAGGCCTCTTGGTAATTTCAGTACAGTTCTCTCCTAAATGGCAATACATTTTGGTTGTTTGACACCAACAAGTATATCTACAACCAATAAGAGTTTTAGAAATATGAATGCTCTGAACATCAATGAGTGGTGAGGCAAGAGAGAGACTGTGCAGAATAGCTGACAACACGCTATTCAGCCAGGCAGGTCTGTGTATCTCACCTGTGCCACCAACTAGCAGTGTGACTTTATTTCATCTCTTGCAGTCACATTGTTTTCTACATAAAATATAATTTGCAGTACACGTGTCATAGGAATATAGTAAGAATTAAACAATATAATATTTTCAAAGTTTATGAAGGAACTTCTTAAGCATTTAATTAGTAGGGACTATTATCTTTGACAAAGATGGGGTATGTACACACTTTTTAGTGGTAATCAGCACATAGGAAATTACTGTTTTGCTTTGTTTATATCAAAGGAACCCTTTCTAGTGAAAATATTTAAGAAGCATACATTTTACATGTAAGTGCCAAACAGAACTAATTGCACAAAAGGAAGGGAATTGGCAGGAAAACATAGTGTGATTAATAAACAGAAACCCCTCTTAAATTTGAGCTGTGAGGGCCCATAGGAGGAGCACTCACTCACCACTTACAGCCAATTACCCCAAACAGGAAGAGACATATTTTCCATGTCCAACAGGAAGATGTTTTTCTACTTAGCTACTCCAATGGGAAGAAGTAGGACCGTCTCTTCGCCCAGCAACCATTCAGCCAATGAAAGACTGATACAACTCAGTCAATGAAAAGCCACTACACTTCAAACTCCCAGTCTCCTTCAATGGACTCTGTTTACAAACCCTCTGAACTCCCTTTTCCTCTGCAAAAGAAAGTTTATCTCTCTTGTTCTTTGGACATGCATATGGTTTACCATTAGACCACATGTTCCAAATTGCAGTTCTCTGTTGTTCCTGAATAAATACAATTTGCTGGAGAAATATGCTGTCTGTTTAAAGTCAATAATAGTAAATTAACAAAACAGCATAATGTAAAATTTATCTTAAAAATGTTTCCTCTACTAAAATTCATTTCTAGATAGCAGCAAGATTTGCCCCTTGGGGGATAGTATGAGTGAGCCAACTATTAATTCTCCCAAATCTGGGAAGGGTACAAACCATTTCCTAGACCTATATAGAGTAGGGTGCACATATGGTCGGATAAAAAAAACTCATGAATATAGAATTCTAAGCATCAAATCTCTTTGCTTCCATCCAACTCACTTCTGAACTTAAATATTTCTTGATCTAATAGAATGTTGTTATTTTACCAGATGCCAGACTACATATTATTTTTTTTCAAATTAAATTGGTTAATAAAATTATCTAGGTTTCAAGTGTACATTTCTAAGATACATCATCTGTATATTGAATTGTGTGCTCACCGCCCAAAGTCAAATCTTCTTATATCACCATATATTAGACCTCTTTTACCCTTTACTATCCCCCCACCTGCCTTCCCTTTGGTAACCACCATGCTTTTCTCTTAATTATTAATAAATAAATTTATTACATACCAACAGAATGCAAAATTTAAAGCAATGAAAAATTTTTTTCCTTTAAAGAATTGCAATTACTTATTCAAATAACTTGTTTTGTTTCTTTGACACTCCCTTTCTGTTTCTTTTATCCTCTAAATATAGATTTTTCTGGCTTGGCTGTCTCCACAAGTACTATTCTCAAGGGGCATATCAAACTTATAGCAGTTTCCATCCTAGTAAACCCAATCCTACATTTCAGAACCAGTGTCAAACCAGTTATTTATCTGTCTCCCCACCCTATAATTTGTTCAATTTTATTTGCATATCTTAAGCACACACTTAAACATGCAGTCCCTGTTCTGTTACCTTAGTTAGAAATGGAATAAAATCTTATCCCCATCATCAACGGGGAATATTAAATAACTTACAAAATTTTATGTAGTCATTAAAAAGAGTGAGGCATATAAAACGTAAATGAAAAGTTTTCCATAATATATTGTCGAGTAAAAAGAGAAAATTATATAAAAAAATAATTCATCAAATATGCCAAACAGCTATATATGCCAAATTATAAAGTAAAATGTCTAGAGGAATATATGTTAAACTCTAAAGAAAATAATTGGAAAGGGGAAAATGAGGGAAAGTTCCAATTTTATCTTATTTAATTGTGAATTATTTACTTTTTTATTTCATGCCATTTTTAGAATGCATAAAATAATGTAAACAATGTGCTAAAATATTTGGTGATTCCATTACTTAGCTAGCCCCCTCCATTATTGTTCCATTTTATTTTGTTTACCTTATTTTCCTTTTTCTCCCCCATATACAGGACTACTACACTGGACTTTTTCTTATCTAAACACTGCCTGGATTTTCTTATGCTGCTACCACAACTCAATCTCTTTAAAGAAATTCAGTTTCTTTAAAGAAAATCATGCACAGATTATGTTTTGGTACATAATCCACAAAAGAAAAAGTGCAATTATAAGAAATTATGCATTTTGAATAAAAAAGATTTAATAAATTTTAAATATATTACTCTGAATTTTAAAATAGCATAAAATAATAAATAAATAGTTACAAAGTTTCTGTACAGATAAACATATTTCTCTGCAAAAAGATGGCTTACTTACACGAGGATCTTGTAACAGCCTTGAATGATTTTTAGAATGAGGTGGAGTATAAAAAAGTAAGATATGCATTTCATTCTAAAAAAATTAAAAAAAACAAGATCCTTACCATTGTGAGGGTAAATGGATGATTCTCTAATGCAGATACACTGGGGCAGTGTAGAGTGATATACTGAAAAGCAACAAAAAAATTTTAAATGACCAAGAGAGAAGTTTTAATTTTCCAATATGGCACTTGTATGCTAATTTTCAAAAATTACATAAGAATAAAAGGTATTTTATGCCCTGGCTGGTTCGCTCAATGATTAGAGTGTTGGTCCTTAAACTGAAGGGTCTTGAATTTGATTCCCAGTCAAGTGCATGGACCTGGCTTGCAGATTTGATCCCCAGTCCTGGTCAAGGCCAATTTATGTGTCTCTCTCAAATAGATGTTTCTCTCTCTTTATTTCATCCCCCACTTCCACTCTCAATAAAAAATCAATGGAAAAAATATCCTAAAAATAACAACAAAAAGAATAAAAGGTATTTTAAAAGTTGCTGAACAATGACTCACCTGGCCAGGTCTTGCTTTAAAATTTTCTTTGACCATTCGAATTTCCATAACATCTGAAGGGTGACTGATAACGGAGATGATGGTGACTGGCTTATTACTCCGGATGCACCTGTAAAGCCTTTCAGCACAATATAGGCACAAAGGTCCAGAAATCCAAAGCCAAGTCTACGGAGAATTTGTGAAATGCACTTTAAAAAATACTTGCATTGTAAGACTCATATCCTGTCTAATTGTTTATTTCACACACTACAGTAAAACTATTATATCTGTTATCTATAATAATAAAAGCATAATATGCTAATTAGACCGGACAGTCAAACGACCTTCCCGACCTTCCCGACGTCATTTCAGACATTCTTCTAGGTGAAGCCGCAGCAGTGGGGGCTGAGGCAGAGGTGGTTAGGGGTGATCAGGCAGGCAGGCAAGCACAGTGGTTAGGGGCAATCAGGCAGGCAGAGTTGTTAAGGGCAATCAGACAGGCAAGTGAGTGGTTAGGGGCGATCAGGCAGGCAGGAAGAGTGGTTAGGGGCGAACAGGCCGGCAGGCAGAGGGGGTTAGGGGCAATCAGGCAGGCAGGCAGGTGAAAGGTTAGGAGCCAGTGGTCCCAAGGGGCCTCAGATTGCGAGAGGGTGCAGGCCAGGCTGAGGGACCATCTCCCCTCCCCGACCCCGTGCACAAATGTTGTGCACCAGGCCTCAAGTTTTAAATAATGTGTAAACAAATAATTCTTACAGCAAGTTATTCAAATAAGAGTAAAGTATAAAATAAATGGTATAGTAATATCAAGACCCTATCCTCAAACCATTGCTCAGGGCCTAACTACCATCAACAGTAAGTCATACATTGTTTCATATATCATTCTATATACACAACTCATATATAATGTATTTATATTATACTTTTCTCTAAAGAGATATAAAAGGGAAGTAAGCCTGGACAGAGTAGCTTAGTGGTTGAGCATTGACCCATGAGCCAAGAGGACACCTGTTCAAATCCCAGTCAGGGCACATGCCCCGGTTGCAGGCTTAATTCCCAGTGAGGGGTGTGCAGAAGGCAGTCGATCAATGATTCTCTCTCATGGGTGTTTCTATCCCTCTATCCCTCTCCCTTCCCCTCTCTCTAAAAATCAGTAAAAAACATTTTTAAAAAAGAATTTGCTAAAGCTCAAATAAATTTCAAGATGATTTTAGAAAAAAAATGTACCAGTCCAATGTTCGTTAAAAAAAACACACAACTAGATATTTTTAATGCATATGTATAACATAATGCACATATACAAAATGTAAAATATGTGAACATATTTTTAAATATGGTATAGGCTAGGCATGTTGTTTTCAACTTACTTTCAAATGATAAATCTAACATGAACATCTAAGATTATATTTAGAATCTGGAAAGCGTAACAATTTTGCACGTGTGCTGAGAGATTGCCCTGATCCCAGGAAACCGCATACTCTGGGGAGTCCAGAAGGCTGTGTAGCCAAGCTTTCTCCTACAACTGCACACGATACTTCCCTCAGCACCTGCCGACTCCTAACCCAAACTTAATGGTCACTTTTTAAAACCTACTTACACAGTTACCCCGGACCTTCCTCCCGCCTGCAGACAGATCATGCCTTTTCCTGACATTTAGTTTGGCACCATGTGTAAGCATCACAGGACAAGTTCTGCAATGCAGCAGCAGTTTTGCAACTTTGAGGCAGTTACCCTTTGAGTATCAAGTTGCACATAAGTAAAATGGGAGTCACAATACCTGCCCTTCCTAACATATTGCAAAAAAGTTTGGGCAATTGTAAAGCTTAATAGAAAACTAGAGGATTAATAATAAACACAACACTAATACACATGCCCTAACTGGTTTGGCTCAGTGGCTAGAGCACCGGCCAGCGGACTGAAGGGTCCCAGGTTCTATTCCAGTCAAGGGCATGTACCTTGGTTGTGGGCACATCCCCAGTAGGGAGTGTGAAGAAGGCAGCTGATTGATGTTTCTCTCTCATCTATGTTTCTAACTCTCTATCCCTCTCCCTTCCTCTCTGTAAAAAAAATCAATAAAATATATTTTTTTAAAAAAAGACAAACACACATTTCAAAACCATCAACAAATCACTCTACTTTTTGACTCCTCTTTCTTCTTTTTAAAAAAAATTAAATTTATTGGGGGTAATACAGGTTTATAACACTATATAAATTTCAGGTGTGCAACTTTATAATACAACATCTGTATACTCTTACCACCTGAAGTCTAGTGTCTTTCCGTCACCTTGTATTTTACTGCCTTTATTTTCTAATTTACTTTCTTCTTCTTAAAACAGACACTCGACATCACTATTTACCCTACTTCCACTTTGTACAGATAAAGACGACAGGGCATAATTCCCACCTGGGCAGCTCCCATAGCCTCCCAGGGGGAGCATGATGGCCCTCGGGAAAGTATTCCAAGAACAAGCATTTTACTCAAAGGCCTAGTTTTGCACTCTGCTTCTGCCGCACGTGTGTTTGTAGAGTTTGCTCGAGGTATTTTATATATTCAAGCAGGAATTTCCTCATCAGAAAATTGAGGATGGCAGTAGTTGAGGATTATAGTAATAGTTATTGTGACTATTGAAAAAATTAGGCATACAGTGCATTTTAGCACACTGCCTAGCAGATATTAAGCAGTCAATAAATTAATTTTAATTTATAATTTATATTATTGTACATAATGTTGTATCACAAATATTACTAGTATTAGTTCTTTCACTATTGTTTTTAATATTCAACCTATTTTTCTTAATGGATGGGGAGAAGGTCTTTGTTACCTTTCTTGTGGCAAACACCAGTGCCACAGTATGCAGAGATCATATGGTTAGTTATATTCCATAATGCTATATGTCTTTCTCCTGGAACTGTCAGCTGCCTATCATGTAATGCAGTAACTTGCTATTGAAACATCCTAAAATGTTCTGTTCTGTAAGAATAATTGCTTTATGTAACTTCAAAAACATGTTTGATCAATTGCTATGGAAATACTCATTTTGCAGAGACCATCAAACACATAAAATTAATTATAAGTCTCTGTAAAAAAAACTTCAAAAACATGTTTGATCAATTGCTATGGAAATACCCATTTTGCAGAGACCATCAAACACATAAAATTAATCAGACCTGTGGAAAGTTAGCTTGAAACCTGGGCTCTTCCTGACAAATCTTCACAGATGTGTTCCGGGTAACCTCATCTGGTTTTGAAAACCCTCCAGGAAAAGATTCACGAAAATGTTCTGAGAGATTTTCAGGTAAGTGAGTATTCCGGTACCGGGTTCCATTAAGATAGATGCAGCCTGGAGGGTGCGTATCTATATTTGTTTGATACTTCAACAACCCTCTAAAATTAAATTAAGAAAAAAACAGGAAGATGAAAAAAACAATTGAAATCAGGGAACACAGTATAAGAAACTAAATCCTTCTTGTTAACTTTATGTAGTCTCTATCCAAAAAGTGTTTCTCATATATCTTACTTAAGAGAAAATTTTAAAATTTTAATACATTCTTTACTATTTTACTAAACCAAAGATATAGCTCCACTCCACCTCCCACCCCCAAAATGCCACAAATGAAGGGACAAACACATTTGATCTTTATAAGTATTTTTTAATTTGCTAGTCTTTTTTCCCAAATCCATTAAGCATTCATATAATCACAAGTTTCACTTCAATAAACACTATAATGATGGGTACTTTGCTATATCTCTGAGCACAAATGAAAAAAACACAGGAATCATATTTGGTTTAGCTAATATTGAATAAAACAGGACTTACTGGTTTACAGAGAAATGTTAAAAAAAAAAATGACAGAAAACTGGAAGCTTGCATCTCTTATGGTCTGAAAACAATTAATACATAGAAATCAGGCCATAAACCATTTGTGTGTTTTTTATTTCTCCATAAACAAGATCACATAAAAGGCTCAAAATAAGACATCAGGCAGGCCAAAATCCTAAAATCCCATTCAGATTGTTCCAAATTTTGTGACACTCTAAATATGACATTCAACTTTCTGTTTTCTGCATTTCTTATCAATAAGGAATAAAGTAAGATCTATATCATGGGGATAGTGCATCAAATTATAGATTGTACAGAACATCATTTTTTTTAAAGATAAGATTTTGAAAAGCAGTGGAAGTTTTTCAGTGTTTTGCCATTTTATTTTAAAAATATTAAAATTTTTATTTATAAAATTATGTTTCCTGGTTGGCAGAGGTATGTTTTAAAATTTCCCTTCATGCTGCCAAGTAAATAATTTTAATACATTAATAAAGTATACTTTATTACATCACAGTTATAATGATTTCATGAAGATACTATTGTAAAACCACAAAAGACTATTATGAATAATGATACTAAATAGCTCCACATATAAAAGCTAGAAAAGCAATAGCCAAGACAATCACAGTGGAAGGCACCACCTACTCGACTGGACATTCTCCTTTTGACCCTTTTGCTTATGTTTAATTCTCTTTCTTCTTTTTTGTTTATGTTCTTCCTTATAAATAGTCACCATTAAAGAGCATGGTACATATCAGGAGCATCTAAGTAGAGGGCTGTACTTCATAATAATCATGAATAGGCCACACATAACATTTTTTTTAAAGTAAGGCAATAGACAGGGCCTAGGTACAGAATAAATTAATGGATAATTATATAAATGTGAGCCAAGTACATAATCCTTCATAGAGTTCTAGTCATATCATGTAATTGTTATGTCATTATGCTTGGAAAACCCATTAATTTGATTCAGCTTCCATTACAAGTAATGATTTATTAAAACCTGTTGCTCCTATTGGCCATCCTGAGGGTGGAGGCTGATGAATGGGCAGGCCAAACATCTCAGGATTTATTCTACTAGCCAGAATTTGAACAAACATTGGCGTAACACACTTGGTACTAGTCTAGGTGGTTCTATAAAGTTCAAAAAGAAGTCAAATCTGGCCCCTAACCCTCCAAAAACTTATAATCTAGTGGAAAATATGTTGGAAGTAGCTAAATATGTTAGACCACAGATAATAATTGGAATAGAGTGTTTTAGTAATATGTTATTAATGTATGGGAAACACCAGGACTAATACAGAGCAGTTATATACATTTCACATTACCCCCATAACCACTGAATGAAGTAGGAATCATTATTCCCACTTTACAAATTAAGATATTATTTTAATAAATACCCAGGGACACACAACTGATAAGTGGCAGAAAGAAGATTTGAACCTAGGTATCACTCAAATTCTATGTTCTCTCGTTATATAGCATGTTAGTCCATTGGATCCTAACAACTTCCCTCTTTAAAAGGAAAAGTAGGGAAATATTAATATTTAATAAGAAAGCATGTCAGGATTTTTTAAACATCTATTTCTCACTTAAATTTCAAATCAAAATTATCATACAAGGTAAATGCTTTTATTCCAATTACACAGATGAGAGATTTGGGTAAGAGATTAACTAAGTAGTACTCAAAATATGGAATTCAGAAACCTCATGTCTCTAACTCCAAAAACCTATATCATGCAAAGCAAATTGGTTAAAGAAGTAATAATCAAAGAAAGGAGTTCAAATGAATAAAACCCTGGAAATAAGATCAGATAGTGTGTGTATGTGTGTGTGTGGGGGGGTATGTGTATGTGCATATGTGTATGTTTGTGTGTGTGTGTGTTAGAAGGGGGTATTCCTTCTGTGTGTGTGTGTGTGTGTTAGAAGGGGGTTTTCCATGTGTGTGTGTGTGTGTGTGTGTGTGTTGGAAGGGGGCTAATTAACACCAGGCAAAGGAATGTTATTTATTCCTTCTCCAAAGTCATAACAGTGTTGTTGAGGTGAACATGACCCGGCGTGCTAATGGTTCTTAGAATGATAAATGTTGTCACTATGCAGTACAACTCTTCAGGTCAGCTCAGTCAAATCATCAGTGTTGCTGTTCTTGGTATATAAAGCGGCCCTTAATATTCTAGAATCCTTCTTAATTCTGAGGGACTTCCGCTATTTTAAGCTCCTCTCGAGGTAAATGGCATAGGCTACCTCGGTCTTAAAACCCCATTAAAGTGTTCTTTTCTTTGTCTCAGTTTGTAATTGTTGCCATCAAACTAACATGTAAAAGAGAAAAGGTCTACAGACAGACAACAACAACAAACAAAAATGTAATGAAGAAAATATCAATCAAGGATGGAATCGCAGGTAATTTGGCTAAATTAGGTGGTAAAGATAGAGATGGGTTCACAAGGAAGGACACTGGCAAATTCTGAGCTCAGTATTGAAAGGACAGGCACTGGGCATGTCAAAGAGGTGCTTGATGCTTCAATGCCTATTTTCATAAACTTCACAGCAAATGTGTGTGTAAAGATCAGCGGCCCCATTGTGAATGAGGGAAAACTTTTGGAGCTCTTAAGTGATCTGCCCAAGACCACGCTGTCAATCAGTGGCCACGTCAGAGCCCAAGGCCATCTGCCTGCAGGCCTACCCCCTGCAGAATTCCCACCTGATTATGCGTCAATCAGTGGCCACGTCAGAGCCCAAGGCCATGCGCCTGCAACAGGCCTGCCCCCTGCAGAATTCCCACCTGATTATGGACAATATTCTGACATTAAAGACCAATGTATGCACTGAACGAAAATGTATGGAAATACATGACCATTAAAGCAATACTTTAAGTTATTCTTCAAGTTTCATTAAACACAGTAACTTACTTTTTCATTGTACTAGTAAAAAATAGGAGTGCTAGTTTTTTTTGTAATAATCCAGAATTTCTTAGAATTTGTAGAGGATACATTTTAAAGAATATACTATTTCTTTAAGATTATATTTCAATAGTTTCATTCTGAAGAAATTTGAATAGGAATGTAAACTAGATATTCTGGATACCTGGGTTGGTAGGTGAAAGTCAACTATCTCTTTAATCCACTTACTTCATTGTGACCACATTTGTTAAAATTGAATGGGTATGGTTTTTATAATTTTTTTGAAACGCTTTACCTACATAATATAATTTAAGCAGATATAACTTACTTGTCTTCCTTCTGAGTTTAATGTTATCTTCCCAAATACAAGAGTTTTAAGTATCATGCAGCTCTGTGTCCATATGCCAAACAATCCTGATCTTTCTTCTTGCCCCACATCACCACAGAGATATTCATATTTTCCATGTATTCTTTTATTGTTTTGAACCTTATTAATTTAAATGATATAGCCCCTACCTTCAAGAAGCTTACAATTTAACTTTCTGCGATGGTGAAAAGAGTACATCTGCGCTGTCTGATATGGAAACCATGAGTTACATGTGGATATTGAACAACTGAAATGTGGATAGTGCAGGCAAAAAACTGAATGTTTCATAGTATTTCATTTTAATTAATTTAAATTGGATAGCCATGGCTATAATGGGTATAATCAGACGTGGAAGCAACAATAACAAAAAAACAAAATGAGTAATGCCATATAGATATATAGTCACCTCGTAAGGGTAAATGAGATAATGAACTTTGATTATGACATTCTGGAAAGGGCTTCATGGAGGACGTAATGAAGGATGCAGAGGTCCCAATGGATGCAGAGGTCCCAATGGTTGGAGAATGACATTGCAATATGAGGGAGCAAGATGAACAAAGCAGGTGGTTTATTCCCAAATTAGAAGAGGGGATCACCTCTTATTCATTTATATAAACCCCCTATGTCCATACTCACTGCCAAACCCTGTGAGCTGAGCCCTCCAGCAAGTTTCTTGCACATGAGAAACCTTCAATGCACTTCTAGTGAATAGAAATAACCATGTAATTTGGTTGAATATAACAAATATATCTAATAGTTAAAATATAGGAAACATTCTTCCATATGTGTATTGTATCTTTTGTAATTAAATGATATATAATTTGAAAGCAGAAAACAGGAAGGAAAAAGGATCTTAGTGAATGGTAAACAGAAAATTTTGCCAAGTAAAGGCAGTGATACAGTTGAGGGCAGGGAAAGGAGGCTCACAGAGCATGTGAGAACAGGAATGCTTATTACTTATTTTCAGTTATAGTGAACTATGTTCCAAAGGAGAGATTTTGAAGTCTCTTTGGAATTTCGAGTGTTCTATTAGGAGATATCAAAGATTTTGTCATGTATCAAAATACAAGTTTGTGGATGCTATTGTTTTTGCACATAAGAGTTTCAAGATATGCTTTCAACACTCAACACTGTTTCAAAAATAGGCTTTTATTTTTTAACCCCCTTTTTTTTGAAGAGATATTATAGTTATACTATCATGGCTGTAATAAAAATAATAAAAAATGTAGTACTCAGAATAAACCCTAGTGGTTACAGCATATAACTCATAAAAAAATATGTTGTGGCGAAGTTG